ATACAGTTGATCTATGGAATGTTATAAGAACCACCAATAAAAAAATTTTTTTAATTAAAAAATATATATGTATTCTAAAGCTATAGTGATACCAAAGAAATAATGAATCTGCCTATTCTTGATTATCATTTTTAAAAACAATCCAGTAATTTTATGTTCATATTTATATCTTCAAATTCTTGATTTTTGTGTAATGGTGGTATTTAATAGAATTTCTGTAATGAAAAAAATGTAAAGATGAGAATTTGTTCACATTCTCCTTGTTACTTTGAATAGTAGATTTTACTTCATCGTGATTACTCGAGAAATGGTGTGTTTTACTTTCAATGATTCATTTGAATTAAAATAATACCTTCAAATCATCTTTGGAGAGCTTGCTTATGCAGCTTGTTCTGATTTTGATTTGAAGTGTCAAAACCGCTTTTAACTTCTATGTTAGCAAAGCCATTGTCATTGAACCTATGGAGGTTTCAGATAGCTTATTAAATGGAAAGTACTATTGCATATAATATGGAATTTTCTGGGGTTTTGCAACACAAACTGGCAGGTGTAGAATAGTCTTTCAAGTTTATAACAGTGTAGATATTGTAGTATTTATCAAATTTTCAAGCACATATGTAACCGTCTGTTTCTTCATGTGACATGAATATAGAAAAATTTTTGAGAGCTGTAATAGTTTTATCAAGGAGCCCTGGTGGTGCAGTTAGTAAACACGAGGCTGCTAACAGGAAGACGGGGCACCCACTTCAGAGAGAGCGAGAAGAAAGAAAAAAACACTGCCGTCAAGTTGATTCCCGCTCCTGGCAACCCTATTGGACCCGGTAGAATGCCCCTATGGGTGTCCGAGACTGCTGCTCTTCAGAGGAATAGCATGCTTTGTCTTTCTCCCATGGGGTGTCCGGTGGTTTCCACCTGCTTGCCTGTGGCTAGCAGCCCAGTGTGTAACCACTACCCCAGCAAGACTCCTCCCACAAGAAAGAAACTTGGCCATCTATTCTCAGACAGGTTTCAGCGGAGGAAACCCTGTGGATCAGTTCTAGTCACTGTAGAGTTGCTATGAGTCTGAACTACTTCGCAGCTTGTTACCTTTTGTTTGTGCTTCGTGGGTTGATGTATATGTGTAAAAATTTAACTTCTAAAAGCCTTTAGTTTTTATTGTTAGATAAATTTTAAATTCTTGTTATTGGTATGTATTTTAGGATCTCCCTTTGTGAATGCTATCATTCATAAAGGCTTTGATGAAAGGCATGCCTACATAGGTGGAATGTTTGGAGCTGGCATTTATTTTGCTGAAAACTCTTCCAAAAGCAACCAATATGTATATGGAATTGGAGGAGGCACTGGATGCCCAGTTCACAAAGACAGATCTTGTTACATTTGCCACAGGTAAGCATTTGCTGTGATTTATTTTGGTAAGAATCAAACAGTGCTGGTTAGATAGTTGAGAAATGTCCCAGGTAAGGAATTATCTTGGACAACTTAAAGAATCTAGGCTAGGAGTGTTTTAGGTTGCTGTTGGCTCTCTTACCAGCTATAATAATAGCTATGTTTATTAAATGATCTCTGTGAGCCAAGCACAATGATAAGCACTTGACTTATTTAACTCCATTAGTGATTTGGACATCTGGTACTTTAAAGAATACTGAATAGAAAACCAATCATGAAAGAGATTTTCTTGTAGCGCTTAAATATTACAGGGTATGGACCCTGGGGGAGCCCTGAGGGGTGCAGTGAGATAGCACATTAGACTGCTAACTCCGAGACTTGTGGGTCAAGTCCACCAGCTGCGGCTCCAAGGAAGAAGATGATGGTTTACAGCCTTGAAAACCCACAAGGGCAGTTGTACTCTATAAGGTCACTGTGAGTCAGACTGACTCAAGGGCAATGAGGGATGTTTTTCTTCACCAACTCTGCAGGAGAAATAATGAGGCTCTATATCCCGAAGAGTTAGTCTTACACATCCAAAGGAGTGGTTCCGCTCTGTCTGGTACTCAGATGCTGAACTGGCTTTGCTAGCTGGTCACTGCATACCCACAGAGAAGAGTCTAATCATTTTATGGCTTTGCCTGAGAGAGGCAGTCTTTTCACTGTGATAAGATTCTGAAACTATTTGTAATATTACTACTGTAAGAATTTTAATTAAAACACGCCGATCCCTGGTGGTATAGTAATTACTCGTTGGGCTGCTAACCACAAGGCCAGCAGTTCAAAACCATCAGCCACTCTGAGAGAGAAAGGGCTTTCTAATAAAATTTCTACTCAGAATTTGAATGCTCACACTCTGGCTCACTTTCTACTTCCTCCCTCATTGTGAGAAATATAAATATATTCATTTTAAATATAGTATGCAGCTTCTAAAGCACAGAAGTAATACGACCTGATTGGTCTTCTTTAGATAGCACTTCTCGGATTGGAAATTAGAGCAGAATCAGGAAGACTTGTTGAGAGACCATTGTTATAGTTTTAGTGTTTTAGAGAGAATGCTTAAATTACTTTAGGAATGAAATGGTAACGGTTGTGTTCATACATTTAAAAGCATAGTCGGTGCACGCACACAGACAGACGTTGCATAGCCAGCTTTGTCTTCACGGTGTTCTTTCTTTCCCTATCACAGGCAGCTGCTCTTTTGCCGGGTGACCTTGGGGAAGTCATTCCTGCAGTTCAGCGCCATGAAAATGGCACATTCTCCTCCCGGCCATCACTCAGTCACTGGTCGGCCCAGTGTGAATGGCCTAGCATTAGCCGAATATGTTATTTACAGAGGAGAACAGGTAATTGTGTTTTCTTTTCAGAAATGTTTGAGGAATCATACTGTAACCTCTTATCACTAATCACAACTTGACAAAGGCATTTTTTAACTTAATTTGGAAATAATTTTAGTTCTGTAGAAAAGTTGCAAAAAGAATGTATAGCCTTCACCTAGTCTTCTCAAATAGTAGCATTTTATCATTCTCTCCCTCCTTTGCCCTGTGTATGTATATGCACATAAATTTTTTTCTAATTGTTTAAGAATAAGTTGCAGGTATGTCCCTGTATTCCCTAAATACTTTTCAATGTGAATTTCCTAAAACCATGGATATGTTATTAAATTTATAAAAAGGAAAATACCATTGGTTCTCTTTTATCTATAGTACAGACTGCATTCAAATCTTGCCACTTGTTCTGAATCTTTTTGAACTTAGGTAAAATGATCAGAATTCTCGATTTAGTAGTTCACCTATCCGAAGCAAAGAATGTATACTTCTCTCCTGTTCTCAGAAGTCTTTCTGGAGCATGTTCTGAGTGGGGTCTGTATCAGACTCACCTCACTTCATACAAAGAGGCACATGTCCTCAGTTCTCATTCTAGACTCTGATGCCAAATCTAAGGAATTGAATAAGGATGTTTTGTTGCAAATGCCTTTCCATGGCTCTGATCCACAACACTAGTGTAGAACTTCTTCCCTAAAATTAAGGAGCCCTGGTGGTGGTGTGGTTTACTCATTGGGCCATCGCTTGTTTAAATCCATCATCTACTTTGAGGGGACAGAGACAAGGCTGTGTATCAATAAAGTTTTACAGTCTCAAAAATCACTAGTCAATCTATTCAGTGGCAGTGGGTTGGAGGTTTTATTGGTCCCTAAAGCTTAGGAATCCTCATATTAAGACCATCTTATCTTTGATTAAAAAAAAAAACAATTGTTGTTTACCAATATCTGAATTACTCTTTCCCTTGCAGGCTTATCCTGAATATTTAATCACATACCAGATTGTGAGGCCTGAAGGTATGGTTGATGGATAGATTATTGTTTCCAGAAACTAACTCCACCGAACCTAAAATCATCCAAGCAGCTGGTCGTCTCCCTAAGTTTTACTCTTTTGCTGAAAAAGGTCATACTGCGTACAGGCCCACGGCAAAAGGATAAAAATAATGTGAAAAAAAGTTTTAACATTCTGACTTGATAAAGCTTTAATAATGTACAGTGTTTTCTAAGTATTTCCTGTTTTTCAGCACTTTAACAGATGCCATTCCAGGTTACACTGGGTCTGTCTGTACTAAATAATGAAGAGTTCACTTGAACCTTTTATACATTATGCATCGACTAACAGAAAATGTAATGCCCTGAATAAAACTCGTTTTACTAATGCTCAAACAGTACTGTGTTCTGGAAAACACGGCATTTACACTGAATACGAAGTCATTTGTGAAACTGTAAATAAGAGCTTTTGTACTAGCCCAATATTTATTTACATTGCTTTGTAATATAAATCTACTGTTTCAGAACTGCAGCCGTTTACAAAACCTTTCCATATGTCTTGCTCACCTGTGCTTCATCTTACATCTGCACGATCGAGCGATCGTTTTCATTTGATTCCAGAGGCTATGTTGGGTTGTTAGCAGAAACTCTGCCAGCTGGGCCAGGTGGCTCTATCAGATATAATTGCTGATGGACGCCTTTATCTCTCCCTGTTAAGAACTTGTTTCATGAATATGATCGGGATTTCATTTGTGATCTTTTTACGTATAAGACACACATTCCAAAAGCTGACTATGATAAGCTCTGATTGCCATGAAGCCTCGTAACTAAACTCAAACTCCAAGTTTAAAGGTAGAAATTTGTCTACTATCATTCTGTAAAAATGAGAGCAAGTGCTCTTATTTTTTTAAGAGAGGCTAAATCCTGCCATTGTACTATTATGGCATTTACATGGACTGTAAATAGGAAGCTAAGTTTCAGAGGTGGGAAAACTAATCCTAGAGAAAGTCTGTTCTATTGACTGGAAGCCTAAAGGAAAGGGAGGGTGGGAGGGAGGGGCAGTTTGTCCTAGAATGTTTCCTGTTCCTTTTTATTAGCCTTGTTAGGATATTGATAGCAAGTCTACCCAGTGTGGGTAAACAGTCCGCATCCACAGAAGGACCATGTCCCTCTTCTCGGCCCGAGCTGGCTGGCTGCTCTGCCCAATGGAACTCCGCTTTTGGTGTGTAGCCCACCTGATGACCAGGCGTGTGTTCTGTTGGCAACTGTGGAGGGGAGTGCTGTCCCATAAAATGCCATTCCTGACTGTTTTCTAGGGAGACCTGGTGGTGCGTTGGAAAGGTGTTGTGCTTGTAACCACAAGGTCACTGATTCAAACCCAACCAGCCACTTTGAGAGAAAGATGAGTCTGTCTGCCCCAACAAAGATTGACAGTCTTGGAAGTCCTGTATAGGTTTACTGTGAGTTCAAATCAATTTGAAGGCAATGGGTTTTCGATGACAGTTTTTAAAGTACGTAAATTGTTTTCCTTTTTCTAAGAAATATGCTTAAGCATTGTGGTATAGAGCCATGCATTACAGCTTGGCAGTCTGTCTTCCTTGTTGACTGCTGCTCTGAAGTCAAGGAAGGATTTTTACTCCTGTGTCAGGGAGGACCTTGTCCTTCACTCTCTGTGCTAGTTCACCCGCGTTTTACGTTTTACTCAATCTCTAACTGAACTTGCCCTTTGTGGGAACTTGTACATAGAGTGCTAGAAAATCATGTCTCGTCCTGAGTAAGAATTAACCATGTAATTGCATATCTGGAATTGTTTTTATGATAATAGATTGTGATTGTTATTTAAGATGTCAGCTCCTGGCCTTGGTGTGCTTTTATACAGTTCCTTAATAGTCGCAAATATGATCCTAAAGTCGTTTCTTGGAAAACAAATGGAGGATGCCAAATTTTATAACTTTTCAGGTTCTGGAAGCTTCCAGATTTTATACTTAATAGATGAGATGAGTTAATGAGATTTATATTTACTTCCCTTATCTCAACATTTAGCCCATATTGCTCACCCTATGAGTGATTCTGGAATTCCTTGTCATGTAAAAATCATGTGGTCTGTGCGTTTACAATGTTACTGTTTGTGTTGTGTAATCCAATCCATTGCTTAATCAGTGTGTTCTTTTCCCATGAATGATTATATTGTGGTTAATATGTTAGCATGGCAGTATTTTCTGATCGTTATTTTGTTTGTTGGGGGTGTGGGAAGTTTGGGGTTTTTTGTTTGTTTTAATACTTTGCATGAAATATCTTGCTTTATTATGGAATTGGGATCTTGTTGGGGTTTTTTGGAGAGGGGGTTATTCTTAGTTTTGGTTTGGTTTTTTGGTTTGTTTGTTTGTTTTTTAAGTGAAATGTAACTTTGTGTGATTGGTATGGTTATACCCATTTTGAGTGTCTTGTACTGTATCACATTCCATACCCTCATTTAATTCTTAATAAACCGTTCACTTTTTTCCTGACTAGCATGGTAATTACTGAACTAGTATAAATGTGTTGAATGGTCTTTGAGAATATGGATTAAGATAACAATGAGCCACACTTACAGGAAAAAAATGTTGCTCTAAATTTTAAAATGGTAAACGGTAAAGTTCAAAGTGTGAGGTATCAACTTGTTGATACAGTATAGTTGCAAATCTACCTGCTCAGATGCTTTAAGATGAAAATAGCTGTAAAATATTTTTAGACATTTAGTGCATCTAGCATAAGCCTACCCCCACCCCCCTACCCCTATACTACTTTTGGTAAACCTTTAAAACTCATTCTTGGGAAATCAGTCATCTTAATTTATAAAGAGAAATATATTTTTGCTTTCTATGTCATTTTAAAAATTGTTAGTAAGTTCTGAAATCCCAGCGTTATTGGTCTATATTGTTCGTAAAAGGATAGTAATGTATGTTTTAGAATTCAATATGCTAAATGTCCATGTGCATGTAATCAATTCTCTGCTTTCCATAAGAGATTGATGGTGCAAATAACCCTTAAATCATTTAGCTTTGAAATCTACTTCAGCAGCTTTACTGTACTGCTTCTGTTAGGGTATAAATGTGTTTGCTGTTTCGTAAGCATGCATGCCCATGTATGATGTGATACAGTTGTTTGCGAGGCAATGAGGAAAGTAAACATAAAAATAAATTTCCTAAACATTATGATTAGTATTTCTAACTGTGCCTTTACCTACTGTCCTGTCCTCTCATGGGATCAGTGTGATAGAGTAGTGGTACCTATATGTTAAACCTGTTGTTTGCCATAAAGATAGACTGTCATGTAGCCCTTTTACAAACTTCTGAATGTTTGCCCCCTCGCTCCAGCCCCACTTGTTTTTTCCAGTACTTTCAAGTTGGGCAGTCTGTAACTTAATTCCAGCCTCCTCAGAAAGGTCTTGCTTTCTAGACAACCCACCATTAACACAAATGTCTTCACCAATCGATGCCCCATCTCCATTCACACCAATATAGAGAGCCCCTGAAATAAGCTACCAATATTGCTGTAGAGCAATACTACTGAAAGTCTGGTTGCATACTGTATGTTACCAACCTGTGGTGAGATGAATACAAAGTAAAGATAAACTTAAAACTCTTTATAATTGTTTGACATTGCTGCCATATTTATTTTACAAAATATTGATCCCTAGCTAATTAGAAATTAAGCAGAAGGGGGAAACCGTCTTTCATAGATATTTTGAGTACAGGTACATTAACTGTGTTGGTTAATTAATAGATCCACCAGTACCTAGTACATACTGGCACATAGTAAGTCAAAATTTGCTGCTATTGAGGTGATGCCAACTCACAGAGACCCTGTCGGATAGGGTAGAACTGCCCCTGTGGGTGTCTTAAGACTATAAATATCTGAAAGTAGAAAGCCCTTTCTTTCTCCTGCGGAGTGATGGTAGTTTGAAACTGCTGACCTTGTGGATCACAGCCCAATGCATAACCACTATGCTACCAAGGCACGTAGTAGTTTCTCAATATAAGACTTTGTTAAATGGATTTTCTTAAGTGGGCTCACACTCACTGGACCAACTGCCATCAAGTCCGTTTCAAGTCATAGGGACCCTAAAGCACACGGTAGAACTGCTCCTTCAGGTTTCTGAGCTTGAAAATCTCTATAGGAGCAGAAAGCCTCATCTTTCTCCCACACGGTGCCTAGTGGGTTTGAAACCGCTGACCCTGCAGTAAGCCCATTTGTAACCAAGACTCCTATAAAGTCAGGTTAACCTATGCCTCACCAACGATGTGACTGTGAACCAATCACATGACTGTGACATCAGTTTTAATAGTGCCCATCTTAAAGTTGTTGGGAGAATGAAATTCTTTTCCCCTTGTGTCACCAGGTGTTAGCTATGAGTTACTATGTTAGTACTAGTGGCTTGAATTTTCCCAATGTCCTGAAGACAGAATTAAATCTTAAACTCTAATTTTGAAGCATATCAAATTGACAGTCTCAGCTTGAAAATTGTTAACATACGCACATACGCTGGTAAGGTGGTTGTGGAAAGAAGGTCAACCCATAGCTCAAACTGCATCATATTCTTGCAGGAAAAAATAAGCCCAAATCAGGTGGGTTTCTGATAAAAAGTCTGTAAATTCATGTGAGCACAACACAGGCATAATCTTGGAGCATTAGCACCCCCACAGTTTGAAATAGTAAAACAACAACAGAATACATGTGGCACAAAGAAAGTATAAAACCTGTTAGAAAGTGTGACACTGAAAATTAGACTTGAAAAACTAAGTCTTGAAACTAGAAAAAAGTTAAATGTAAAGTTCAACAGGCAGGTTAGGTCTGTCTGGAGAGAGAGCTCATGAACTACTAGAAGATACAGCAGGAAAATATCCAGATGGTCACAAAAGGAAAAGGTGGGAAATGTGAAGAGATTAAGAGACAAGGAGACGGCCAACAATGAGAGTGGAGGTGTACCGGGAGGGTTGGGGGAGAAAGGGGAATCGACCTCAAGGATCAACCTATAACCCCCTCTTAGGGGAACAAATGACGGAAAAGTTGGTGAGAGGCGACTGAAGATGATGTAAGATATGAAAATAACATCAAGGGTTTGTGAGGGTGGCGTGGGGGAGGAGGGAGAAATGGGGAGTTGATATCGGGCTCACGTGGGAAGAGAGTGCTTTGAAAATGATGATGGCGGCATGTGTGCAAATGTGCTTGACACTGGATGAGTGTATGGGTTGTGATAAGATATGTAAGAGCCTCCAATAAAAAAGACGAGGCTAGAATGGAAATATCCATCAGAAAGAGCAGGGCAGGGAAGAGATTTGAAGAAGAGTTGGGGGGTTATAAAGGATAGGAATAAAGTTGTGAAGCATTGGCCTAGGAGAGTGAGTTGAAAACGT